TTTTTAAACCATTGCTGACATTTAATCCATAATTAGTAATATAATTATGGAATTAATAATAATATAATGTTGGCATGAATGCAGTACGGTAAAATGCCAGGTCCCAATTACCAACTTCATAAAATATTGTCTCGGGAATAACATTTGTTGTCTCAGACTCTTATTAACATAAAACAACAGAAATAAACATACGTGGGAGGGTGGTAGTCTGCTGCAGTATCACTTTGGGCTCTTTATTTAATTTAGGCAGAGAATAAAAAGAAGTAGTTGTCTTTTTATGTTTTCCTCAAATGATGAATATTTTATTTGGAACAAAGCTCAACTTGGAAACGTACCATCAAGATGAAGAAGTCTGTGTGTGCTCACATGCCTGACTGACCAATACATCAAGGAACTGCTACGCCAACTACCTATCATACACGCTCTTAGCTCTTGAGGTGTGATCTCTGCTTACTCTCTGAGCCTGATATGTCTGATAAAGCCTTGAAGTTTTGTACCACTTTCACAGGTGAATAACTTGCCAAGGGAGCACAAAAGACAGCTTCTCAGGAAAGGTTATGAGCTAGCGCGCGCGCGTTGTGTATGACTGAGACATTTAAGAGTCAAGGCGACTGAAAGTAGAGCAGAAAGGGATTGACCTTGAACCCTCATCCCTTCTAAATGTTAAAATACTGCGAAAGGTCACAGAAGAGCAGAGGATGTTTCCTTGGAGAGAGAAAAAGGAAGATAGGGGAGAGAAAGGGGGAGAGAGGGGGAATAAAAGTAGGAAAGGTTGGCAGAAACAGGATGAATGATACATGAGTTGATAAGGAGGACTTTGACTTTTACCTTGCTTTTACTAAAACATGCCCACCAGAGGAAAACTCATAAAAATATGTACAAGACACACACTGGACAGCTTGACAGAATCAAACCATCTTTTGACTTGGGATATAGTGGATCTAGTCTTACAGACACATAAAAAATAAAGGGGGCAAACAAAGAGGGAGAGATGTGGTGAGACAGCACACAAAGAGCAGGTAAAGAAAGTAGAGGGTGAGGAAAGAAGCTGACGGGACGTAAAAGATAAAAGATGGAGGATGGCGAGAGTTTGGGAGAAAGAGAAACTAGGGCACAGGCGGGAGGAAACGGCGCGCTGGTGTTCTTTAAAGTTGAGCCATCACAACCACTAAATCCCCAAAGCTGCCTGCCAGGACTCATCCTCGTCCCCTGGTACCATTGCACCTTTCAGAGCTTCACTCCACACCTCCATATCCATCTGTCTCTCACTCTCTCTGGTCCCTCTGCATTCTTTCACTAAGACGGCTCTCTCTTCGGCGCACAGCCTTTCAGCTTTTCTTTCTTTTGTACCTCTCTCCATGCCGAGCAGTGGCAGAAGAGGGAAGTGTTGCATTCATTTATTAATTTCCTAACCCAGTGCCACTGACTCGTCCTCTAGAGGCTGCAGTTATGACTGGCGGAGAGGGAGGCTGTCTACACATCTCTGGCCCCCCCGTCCCTCCGTTCTCTTCTTTCCTTTTTGTCTCCTAGTAGCTGGGCTGTCTCCCTCGCTTTTAGAGGCTCACATTTTTGTGGGTCATCATCTGTTCAAGTCTCTATGTTCCAACGCTTTGTCTCTGTCGAACAATGTTCAGATACATAGAAAAACATTCTCCATCTTTCTGCTTTGCAGAGTCTGTTTCCATGCCCCCTCGCACTGGTTACACTTGAAGTGAATGAAAAATATGAATCAACGACAGGAATGTCATTCACAAACTAGACTAAACAAGCTGAATTCATTTGTGGCAGTCTTCATACTACAGTTTCACTGCAGTTTCAGATGAACACTTCTGATATTTCTCCCAAACATACCCATTAATCATCATCATCATCATCAACATCATAATTAAGTCTGATCATGCTGTAATAACTGATTGTTTTTTTTTCTCAGCTTGAGACCACGGAAACAATCTGTAAACTCAACGCTGGCATATCCCCACCTTTTACCAAACAGTTATTACTCATTTAGAATTGTGTTTCTGGGCACCTGGCCAATGTATGTCCAATATACACTCTCTTTTAGCTCTGTTTTTGGTCTCCACCAACTCCGGAGGGAAATATGGCTTCTCCACCTGCACCCTGGTCTCATTCCCAGGGCATGAAAATATGCCACTTAGGTTGCACCCCCCGCATCAAGGGGGTACCCTTTAGCGTCTGTATGAGACACACTGGGCTTTCAACCAACTCCAATGTAAACCTGTCCGTGTCATTACTAGATGTTCAGAGCAATGGATGTAGTATAAAGAGTGGAAAGTCCACTTAGGAGGTGTTGCATTAAGTACACATGTCTGCCGACGAGTGTTAGCAGACATGTGTGAGCTGCTCTTGCTGAGATAGACTGTCCGATAGACAGATCTCTTCATAGGTTTCGTCATGAGAGTCATTAGTTAAGTGTGTGTTAGTTAAGTTGACTCACGTGATGATGACGTCAATCATTATCTTTTCCTAACCCTAACCAAGTAGTTTTGTTGTCTAAACCTGACCCACAACCCCTTCTTATTCACGTGATTCAACTCACATGATTTACGGTGGACCACTTCTGCGTCAAGCTTCACAAACCCTTTCTGCGTCAAGACACAACACACAAGACATCTTTATAATGACGCTGAGGGTTTGTACCTAAGGGTCAAACGTTTCTAAGTTTGTCTAACTTGCCAGATGCAAGTAGCATACAATGGGTTTTTAGAGATTCTTGGTTGAAAGCCGCTGCTTGCTGCAGCCAAAAAAGACACGATGAGAGCCATGGGAGTGAATCAAAACAGTTAAGCTATTGGGAGCAAAACTTAATTATAGGCTATAAAACTCCATAGGGCCAAGGTGAACTTGAGATATGGGTGATTATTCTCTGTGGGTTGGTCACGACAAGTGCTTAGAAGTCTTAGATTTTCAATATCGTATCATTCTAAGTGTTGTCTTTTCCTGGTTTTAAAGGCTGCATTACAGTAAAGTGATGTTATTTTCTGAACTTACCAGACTGTTCTAGCTGTTCTATTATTTGCCTTTACCCACTTAGTCATTGTATCCAAATTACTGATGATTATTTATCAAAAATCTTACTGTTTTTACAATGTGTGAAAACACTGATAGTCAACAGTACATCATTGCAATTTTAGTACCAAGGCATTTGGTAAACCATATTGTGATGTCTGATTATCTTCATATTGCTCAGCACTAAACATAATGTTATATGTGTACAAGGTGTTTTACAAATGCTCATATCTCCCTCATATAGTTTCCGTTAAGTCCCTTTGATTGCTAGTTCCTAAATGTGAATCCATGCAGCTGTGCCACTTAAAAAAGCAAGGTTGTGCTTAGTCAGCACATCGAGGATAAGTCTGTATAGACTGGTACACATCGTGACTTGAAACTGATCCTGAGCCAGGATGACAAAGCAACATCCCGTGTTGCAGCCACAACAGTGCGGCACATCGTAGACATCCTCTATATCATAAGACCATAAAATGTGTGTTGAAATTGTTGCTACATCATTTCACCACATCAGACAGGTTACTAAGGTGCAGTACATGCTGTTTGTAAAACCAGCACAACAGCATTAGCAGGCAGACTCCAACAGAAAACAAGATCTGAGGCTGTGTGATTCAGTTGCCAAGAAGAATAAAAGCATGTTCATCACATAGTAAACAGACATCAAAGCACTGAAAGACATCCTAGACATTAGATTGTATATTCTATATAGAACACTTGGGAATGTGCTGCTTTGCACTCTGCTCTTACCTTAATACTTAATGCAGTACTGACAAATTGAATACACTGTATGTATTCTCATGTCTTTGCCCTCTTACAGTGAATCACTGCAAACTTATTTTTTATGTTATATTTACCTACAGGGAATCAGTCTTATTGCCACATAAATGCCAGGGAGCCTCGAAAGTATGACCCTTTTTTCAGACTTTTTCATCAGTCAGATAATTAAGGAGGTGGGCAAATTAGCTCAAACAACATGACTGTGACTAAAACACCGAGCCTAAGGCTGCACATTGTGAAGTTTTACTGTTAGTCTGCAGTTGCTCATTCTTTTTGGACAAGAAATGTGTCCTCCAATGCTCTTCCACTGTTTGACTTGTAGTGTAAAGTGTTATATATTGCTTAAATTGTTTAATTGCTCCATTTGAACCAACAGTGCTTCTTTGTATGACACAATGTAAGGCACAAAAACACATTTTCTGAAAAAACATGAAAGTGCAGCCCCACTCCACCAGAGAACAGTAGCGCTGTTGATTTTCTTAAATGTCTGCGCTTTCTCAACTGCTTTCCAGTTATTTGCCGTGACTCATTTCATTGCTTTTTTGGACAGCTGACATTCATCATGTGTGTAAAAGGCACATCCTCTTTGTGGTCATACAGTGCAAAAACATGTGTGGTCAGCATACGATATGCTGTGTCACTATAGCATTTCAAAATAATACTACACACTGTTAGTGACTAGTGTAGAACCAATTAGCTCAGTGCTTTATTAGTTTCATTAGCTATGGACACGTTTGTTGTTGACATCATGGATGTGCTCACTGGCAGTCTTGCACTTTAAATGCGGCTCAGAATATCACTTGATGCAAATAAATATTAGCATTTAACATTATTAAAACATTCAGTCTGACAATATCTGCTTTTGCCCTGCAATATATATAAGTATATGTAAATACATAAGTGGAAAGTGTGTAATATATTTTAATTTATGGTTAGCATTGTTTAATTAGAAAGTAGGCTAGCATCTGTGACTGTTTCTTTACCTTTGTGAAACAGCATAAATCAGGAAATCTGTATTTTCTTCACTCCCACATTGTAAGACACTTTGCGCCATGACAGAACTGACGTTTAGATGACAACACCTTCTCTTAGTCAACAGGGAAATGAGAAGTAAACTGCCACAGTCACACTATGGTATAGCACATACACTGTTAAAAGTCACTGTATAGCACTTGAATAAGTATTTAAATGCTTACTGAAAGCTGCCACAGCCAGTATGAGCGTGACCACGATGGAGACCCAGGAGACCCAGAGTGCCTTCTTCCTGTAGCTCTGAGCCTCATGGGGCTTCAGGCGCATGCTGCTCTCGAGGAGACCTGCAGTGAGACACATAAACTCTGTTACTAGGACAATTCCTGCTTTCTTTGTGCTTGTTTTGTAACATTCATTTTATGTTGTGCTTTATGACATGATCATATCAGACAGCCAGAGGCAACATCAGTGGTCATTTTGACCTTCTCCAACACTCACGTCAGAGAGGAATAAGATTCTCTTAAACCCTGAAGAATCACTTGGGTTATTGAAAGAAAGGGTTTAAGCTTGTGTGCCTAACTACGATGCAGAGCACAATTCTGCCAGTTATGCTTAAACTTATTTCAGTTCAGCATTATCAACCAGTGATTCAGGATTCTGGAGCACAACAAAGGTGTGATGTTTCGGTGATGACTCGTGAAAATGGTTTCATTTCATCTAAGTACATTTACACTTTTACACATTGAACTAGCCACTGGCCCTCCAGGCTATTTAACACTATACGGAGGTCAGAGGTCTGGCTCTGCCGGATAAACCCTAAAGGAAAGTTCACAGAAACGTGTTGTTGAAGTAGCAGCCATAATCAATCCACCACAAAAGACCACATAGACCCATCAATGGGTATTCACTACTGCTTCGAACAATGGAGCTGTTTCTTCCACCCTTCATGCGTCCTTCAGCTAACGATAATTCTCCACACCTTCCATCAGAGCACCGGACCAATGGGGATTTACACTGAGTGACATAATGCCTGAGGACTCTTGCTATACTGCAGATTATAGGTCATGGGAGAAGCAAAGCTCAGACACAGCTTGTCAAGTTTTACTTCCTTTACTGACCACCACATAGGGAACTGGAGAAGCAGCAACAGTACACCTGTATCAAACCACCATGCTGAACACTCATGCGTGAACTGTCTAAAGTAGTCCCTCAAACTAATTCAAAGCAATCAGGAAATAACCTCTTGAGAATATAAAATTACCAATGAAACCAATCAAGTTTACAAATTAAGTCGACAAAAATCAATCTTTTGTTGCCATTGATTTTGAAGGACCAACCTTAATAGCTTTTTAAGGTTCCCTTCTAATAACCTGAACAGAGACTGTGCTAAGGCAAAACACACAGGATAACAATCCACATGCATTTCCTAAGGGCTCAAAGCCCTGTTTCTGTGCGAGAAGCCTTCGCCTGAAGTCACAGACAAAACAGCCCAGATTCTGAACCGCCTGGAGCTCTTCCATTGTCATGAAACACGAGGCAGGCACTGCAGATTCATGCAATATTTATAAGCCTGAACTTTTACATCCAAAAGGGCTTTTATTGCTATCAGTTGTCATTCTATCCAGAAATGTGTGCCAGGGACCACAGAGTCAGCTGCCTGTGAACTGTCCTGAGACACAGAGGGTGTTTCCTTTGCAGACTGCAAGTTTGGCCACAAAATCAGGCAGATAATTGGAAATAATGAAGGCAAAATCCTCTGATCCTAGAGTGAGACAAATGTTTGGACACAGTTCAATGATATTTAGAACTTCCTTTCTGAGTAGACTATCTGCAGTCAAAACCCTAACCCCTCTTTGTCGTTGGGGTCCTATTTTAGTAAGGCCTTTAGATATAAAAATGAGTTTATGCTACATGCCTTTATAGCTATTTGAATTGGTTTCTTTTGAAGAAAATAATTTGTTTTGGGGGAATTTTCTCTCACTGGCACGGATGACCAAAGCATCAACACATATAAGGTGCCATTGCAGTGGCAGAGTTATGATACAAGATTGTTCCAGAAAACTTAAGAAAGCTTCCACAGAGTAGACCCTTGCCTCTTCTGTGCTCCCTCTCTTATTTTTTTAAAGAAAACAACTGAATTTCTTTGAATGGTGCAGTAACCTCCACTCTCCATCTCCAACGTGACACAAACCTGGGTCATTTTTGTTGTGAAGATTTCATGTAAATATTTGTCAGGGTACCACATCACTTAACCTACAGGAAACCTGGAATCACGGATTGTAGATCTGCCCAACCTCAAAAACAGATCATCCCTTAAACCTTGGAATTTCGTAACTTGAACACTGACCAGAAGGCCTATTAGCCTAAGTTATGACACTCGAGACAACATCAGATGTTGCTTTGCATTTTACACAATTTCACTTGTGATCAACCGCCTGATACTAAACAACAGAAACAATTCAACATGACTTACAGGCTTTAAACTACATGTAATTATGACTGTGTATGTGTTTGCATTGCAAAGATGAAACCAAGCCATTCCAGAAACAACTTAGTCTTGGTCACATGGTTGTTTTATAGACTAAACAGAACACAACTTATGACTGAACCAGTTTTCATATTGTCATATCAAACCTTTTTAATAATAAAAGGCAAACTATGTTTCCCATGATGCCATCAACAGCATTTTTGTATTTGGCCCTGTCTGTCTGGTACATGTCCACATCTTTCAAACGCCATATGTTTGGTTTGTTACGCTGTTAGGAAGACAAAGCTAATGTAAGTTTAGAGACTTTACAATAAATTGTAACATTTTCTCAGACTTGACAAACCTCCAGAGCCACAGAAGACACGAACAACAGCACTGTGTAGTACTCCCCATGAGAACTGACCATACTTGAAACATCACTGATGTTCCCTTTAAGTTTTAAACCCCATCTCAGTTTCAATGAGACGTTTTCACAGTATTTTTGTAGAAAAGCTATTTGCTGGTGCAGTATCTGTTACAAGAACATTACAGTCCCCTTTGTCTAAGTATGTTTACTACCCTAAAAACTACAGTCTTGTCACCCATATGACAAAAATGGCCCTTTTGACAAAGGTATAATCAAACTACTTCTTTATAACCCCTGCCTTTCTCTGGGATGGCCAGTTCACCCCTTCACACAGCCCTTGGTGTTGTTCACTCCTACTGATTGTCCCATGTGGGTGTAGACAGAAGAAGACATTGCAGACAAAGCATCCAGAGGGAGTTGGTGCAGCTACTAGAATATGATCCCTCACCAGCTTCCCACTAGTGAATACTGCCAACTGTTTCTGATGGACAGCCAAACCCTTTCACTCCAAGCAATGTACTCCTTCAACTGGCTTTAGTTTAGTTCAGGCAATTTGTATCTATAACTCTCAGAAGCTTCTTTGAATCCAAGTATGTATGTTGAGGTGAAAGGATATGTGCCTGGGGCCCCTTATGAACCTGTTATGATGCATTTGTAACATATATACTCTACTCCTGTTGTGTCAATGTGGGAGGCAAAGGGGATCAATGTGAATGCAATTGGTTTAGATATCTGCCAAATACACATATCTTCAGAAGGTATGTTAGTAGTCTTGCATCCATAATTTCTATTTTCAGTGTCATTCTCATATTGAATTCATTAAAACACGTAGCCTACGTTTTGGTTTCACAAGGAGGAAAGCATCAGATGCAGACCGCCTTTATCAGCATGCTCACCCCTTGACTCTCACCATCTAGCTGATGTGAAATCGTTTAATCTGGCTGTAACTGATTTCTCTGAAGATAGCAAATCAAAGAAAATCACATGGCTTGTGCTTAAAGGAAGCTAAGAATTATCTGGTAGGCCTCCGTCAGGGCCAAGAATAAGAACAAGTTGCTGTACTACAGGCAAATTGAGTCACACTGTGTGTATGTGAGAAGACTAAAATAAATGGGTCCCAATGTGTGTTTAGCTTTGTTCAAAATCTGTGTGTATTGTACAAGTGGCGTGTACTTTATGTGTGTTTAGAACTACAATTACACACTTCCAATCTTAACATCACTTCTTTTCTCTGGTCATTTTTGATCTGTATTTCAATTTTCACTTAAAAGCATGTGAGGATTTATTGGCTGTGAAAGGCTGGCTGATTGGAAAACACATGTCTTGTTATAACCTCTGACTTGACATGTTCTGATAACACCCTAAGGTGCTTGGAGCCAGAGTGACTTCCTACAGACATTAGCATTGTTTCCAACAATACTGTGGCAACCACAGCATGCGTGTGTGTGGCTACGTGCGGCAGAGGGGGGAAGTGAGACAGCATGGTTTAATCACTTTGCTCACATGATCCCCGGCCGGGGGATCAGACAGAAGACATGTGCTCAACATCTCCTCATGCATCTCTCTGTGACACACGCTCAAGTTTGTGTGGGTGGGTAAATGTGTGTGTGTCTCTCGACACTTGTCTCTGTCACACCTTTCTTTTCTAAAAATAATTAACATCAGCCATGTAGCTCAAAAGGCTGATCACACACTCCCTGTACACACTTGCCAGGAAACACGATTGAATATTAAAATCCTGGGAGGAATGTGACCTGAAAGAGATAAATTAATTACTTTTTAAAATAATCTGAGAGTCTGCCCCTCACCTTCACTACTTGTTTTACTGCAATGCTGCCTGACAGATAGCTAGATAGATAGAAACCACTGGCATGGACAAGCAATACTGCAGAGGTTTCTTAACAGCAATGGCAGGGACATTTATGTAAATAGGAGAGAGATGAGGAAAGCGGGGGAGGGATGTAGACAGGGAGAGTGTGAATGTGTGAAATATAATGTGCTGATATGTGTGGCTGTGTTTGTTTAAAGCTAGCTCTTTCTACACATCTATTTAAATTGCTTAAGTTTTAATTAAAAGTAAAGTTTTCTCCTTGATGCCTGCTCATATCATCTTTAATATGTCTGTGAGTGGCCCTTACTTTCAGAGGAGTTAATGACCTTTATTCGATGACCTCAGCTGACATCACAAGCAAAGTAGCACAACTGATTACATACACTTAAAGGAGCACTCCACCGATTTTCCATGTAAAAAAAAACGACTCAACTTGTGATGGTTAGTACTACTCAGCCTTTTAAGTCCATTGCATACAACACTTGTTCATACTTAAATGACAAAATAATTTCAGCTGACTTCCAATATGACATATATTACCATCCCCAAAACAACATGTCATATGTTAGCATCCCCACAATTGCAGTTTTAAACACATCCTTCATGTTATGAATCGGTCACACTTACATTATAAAACTTAATGGTTATGTTTCGGCAACAAAACTGGTGGTGCATGGTTCAGTTTACAGAAAAAACACCATGGTTTGACTTAAAATAAGTTCAATTTCAGTTCAATGTCATTTACACACAAGCACACAGGGATGTCAAGGGGCTCCATGCTCCATACTTGGTCCGTATAGGGACTAAAACCAGCGATCTTCCGATTCCCAACCCAAGTCCCTGTGGGCTGAGCTAGTGCCAACATAAGTTATATGCTAGTATGTGTAGCATACTTTGTTATTAAAAGAAGTCAGTGTTGACATCTGGGATAAGAACACTTGTCTCCTGGGTGAAAGTCCTGCGCATGTTTGACCCATCCACCACCCTATACGTTAAGAACTTCTTCCATCTTTACACAACATTATACAGGCTTTGTCCATTTTCATACTGTGTCACTTCAATTCCTCCTCTGCTCTCCTAATAATAATAATTACTGCAGCTAATAAAGGGTGCCACACTAAAATAAACACAAGTATGGGTCATAATAAGCTGCCTTTATGGTTGTTTTTTCAGTAAAAGTTGGCTGGTTGCATAATGACATCTATGGTTCTAGTGGAGCTTTGCTAAGCCTGAAAAAATATGAGATGTCATGGTGATGTCATCAGGGTTAACTTGGGCTGGGTTTATACAGTATAACTTTTTAACAGAAAGTCTGCATTGCAAACTCAACATGTAAATTTGATACCAAAACAAACAAAAAACATGGCTGTGACAGTTTACTAGGCAAGGAGGTCTGATTAAAGATGGAATTAAGTTGCATTATGGGAAATGTAGTGTTGGTGGAGCTGGACCCTTACAAGTGACTAAACATTAATATATCTCTACCTCTGTTGCTTCAACCATGTTTTAGAATTCTGTCTCTTGCAAGTTGCCAGACTTTATGAAAGTGCAACTCTGAGTCACTGTAGTACCCCTTTAAGGATTAAGTCTACTTTCTAAGAGTTAAAATCTGCCAGGTCATTAGTTTCTGCCAATTAGAAGATCTTAAATAAATTGTAGAGCACAGACACAAACAATTAAGTTCATATTTCTTCTATCATCTTTTTTCTCTTTTTTTTCTTAGGGTAGATACAAGGTTGATACTGTATGTTGTTTCCAGATCTTAAATATAAGCCAAATCCAATCAGCATAGCTGTCGCCACTCTGAATAAAATAACCACATCAGTTTTTTTATGAATTACTCAAGACGTGCTGACTACCACTTAGAGCTACATAGCTTAATTACCTTGTCAATTATCCTTTGAAATAAGATCCAGTAAACATAACATAACATGACATATAATGAAGTAAATGCTTACATAAACTAACAGGCTTAGGATGTATTGTATAACTGAGGCCCTTATATTATCCACTGTGGAATTTTTTAACAGGTTCTATGCATATTAGAAGATGAATGGGATTAAAATAGTGGGAAAATGAAACACACAGAGACATGTGCTTACGCAAATGCAAGTGCACATTCGGGGGTTTGTCATGCATGTGACTGGTATCAGACTCTAGCTTTAAAGCAGACTGAGACTGTGTGCCTCAGGCTGCATGTTTTAAGGAACAACTGAGCTGTCACAGCCAACTTTGTCCTCGGATGCAATGCAATATGAAAAATAAATGAATGAATGAATGAATGAATGAATTTGGGGGTTATACTCACTTTAAAAATGTTTTAAGCTTTGAATCCATCTTTTGCTTCAGTCTAATCCAAATCCTGCTGATTTAGGACTATCATAAATTATTCAAATAAGAGCAGACTAAAATACCTCACATGGATAAAAATACCTCCCATCTCTCCAGGGGTCCCACTGAACACACACATTGCACTCACATGCACATCCACAACTTTTAAAACCACATCCAAACATGACAGAGACAGATGAAGTTACCTTCTCCCTCCACACTGTCTGTGATTTTCATCTCCTGGCCCGTGGTGAACGTCTCGGGCTGGCTGGGGGTTTTGGCTTGCTGGTGATGGTTGTTGGTGAAGCCATCTGGGGCGCACTGGCCGTTCCGCACCGTAGCCGGGCAGGGATCCACAATAGTCGGGTCTGGGACAGGGTAGGACTCTTGGCTGGCCGGGTCTGTCATTGTTGTTGCAGTTTTGTTTTCAGGCTCAAAAGCAGGTAAAAGATGAAGATGATGAAAAAAAAAGATTCACGCCGGCTCGCTAGGTACACCAGCCATCCAGCGCGTCCAATATGCCACTGGTGTCGACTCAGATACGCAAGGGGGGAGAGAGGAGATGGCGATAAGAAAAGATGGGAGATAAAGGATTAATCTCCCCAGCATCAGCAGCGAGACAACTCCCTCTGTGGGAACTCAACACAAAGCTCTGCAGCCTCAGTGCAAACACCCGGTCCGGCTGAGCCAGTTAGAGACAGTTTAGGGTTAGATGCGGCGATGCGATAAATTGCTGAGATCTGCTGTGAATCTGGCAGGCGGTGCCAGCAAGTTTTTTTTCTCCTCCCCTTCTTCCTTCTCTCCTCCTCTCCTCCTCTTAGAACTCAGCACCTATTTCTCACATAGGCCACATGAAATCATCAGTGACCACACTGAATCACTTTAAAGTTCTCAACAGATTCGATTTCTGAGTAAAGTTAAATGGATCTTAGAAAGCTGTTATGTTTTAAGCAACATTTAAAGTAAAAAATAAAAGTTATGTTTTTACTATTACCTTATAATGACGTCACATGGGTACTGTTGTCAGTCTTATTACATATGATCATTGGTTTTGTTTACATCTTTCATAATGGTGGATTTGTCCTTTACTCCTAGATCACTTTATTGACCAATTATCATAACCCATGGAAATCAACTATTTTCTCACCTTGCCGATGACACACTTCCCTGTACTCTGCTTTATCGCTCAAACACTTCACTAAAGTGCAATTATTAACCACAAGGTGGCGCTGAAAAGCAGGACTGTGTGCAAGTGAGGATGTTAAAAAAAAAAAAATTTCTGTAGGATGTCAGTCAGCTTGACACTGATCTGCTCCACATTATGTAGGTCAGTGATTTTCAACTGTGTAGCAGCCTATAGTCAAATTACTGTGAGAAAAATACATGCGTAATCATAATTCATAATGCAACTGCATCATCTTGCAACATCCAAACATGCATAAACAAAACTATAAGCTCAAAACTCTGACTCAGCAGAAGGCAGGTAGCCAGCTGCACAGATTCTGCTTTAAACTATTATGTGTGTGTGTGCGTGTGTGTGTTGCTAGAGTAGGGTGGGGTGCAAATCATGTTTGAGGTTGTCATATCACTTGATGGTTCAGGATATTAAAGATAAACCAACATTAAATAGCCTCCATAGACTAATGATTACTTTCTGCCTGATTTACTATCTGGGTAATAAATGACCAGGGTGTCCCAGCAGCAGCCAGGTCACCTGTCGGTCATTGGTTTGTGGCTGAGGGCGGAGAGTGTTGTTTGGATTTGCGCTCAGTTTCTGCAAGAAATCTTAGGCAGCAGACCTCCCCATTTTCCAGAGGGTAATCACAAGGATGAAGGTTGATATCCATAATCATATTTTACCAAAGGAATGGCCCGATTTGAAGCAGGTAGGCACAGAGAGACACGAGCTCAGTGAGGATCTGAGAAGTTTTTATAACAGCCTGGAGCCTCCAGAGTAAATCCAAACAATGTGTGGTTGAGTGGTTTTTTGTTTTTTTTTGTTAAAAAGACATCTTTCTTTGTTTTGGTTCTGTAGCAGGCAGAGTTTATCCTTCAATTCAATGCAATTAAAAGCCAGTAAAATAAAATGTACAGACACTTCCCATTGAAGTGTCAGCAGGGAGTTTAACAGCTCACTCCATAAATCTGTGTTCTCTATGGATGGTTAAACTTTAATCAGTAAGTAGCTTTGGCCTTGTGCTTCCCTGCCCTATCTGTTATCTGTCCCTGCTCTTTCGTCTTTGTCACTACGGAGGCTTTGCTTTAGCTAATGATTTCCCATGTTTAGTGCTAGACAGAAGAGATGGTTTGCAGTCTGGTGCCATCACCCTCCCTCAAGATTTCTATGCACCTTTCTTTCTTGTTTTTTTTTTTTACACCAGTAAGAAAATGTATATAGTAATATAAAACGACGGCACTGTCTTTTGAGTCATCATGGCTTCTCCACCAGTTGAGACACCTGACTTTAAACCCATGCAAGCTGAGATTGTTTTGGCTGTTACACTGAAATAATACTGTATTTCACCACTTTTGGTGAACTAACTGAAGGCTGATGTAAACAGAAGTAAGTGACACCTTTAGGATTTATTCTGCGAGTCTTGATTCAGTGTATCATCAAGGCCCATATCATTATGATGAATGGGATCATACTGGTTATCATATTGGCAAAAATCAGTGCACACACAGAGGTTATTAAAACCTTATGTTTTGTTCCGTTTTAACACTTATTGTTTGGGTTCCCAGTATATGTGAATTAGAGCTGTGAAGATTAGTCGACTAATCGCCATCTATTTTGATAATAGATGAATTGTTACAGTCATTTTTTCATGCAAAATTACAATTACAGTAAATTACAGTAAATCTGCTTTTCTCCGTTTCATTTTAATATTTATCAAATTGTATATCTCAGGGTTTTCAGTTCAGTTTTCATCATCTTGGACTTCAAGAAACTGGGATGGATGTTTTTTTTTACCATTCTCTGACATTTTCTAGACCAACCAATTAATCAATTGATCTAGAAAATAATCAGCATGGGCATAACCAATTGATTGATTAATTAAATAATCAATAATGAAAATAACTGTTAGTTCTAACCCTAATGTTAATAGTGACAATGATAATAATAGATAATAGTGCAAAATTTACAATTTCTTATGTCTATTTTTCTTTCCAACTGCATAAAAATCCAATAAGCAGATAACTACTGAAGTGGTAACACTTTTCCCTTTCCCTTTGCATAAACTGGGCTGTTCCAAAAAGTCTTTTACAGACAAAGTGTTGATAATACCTTGATAATTAATTAGCCTGATGACAGTCACATCAAGTGACACTGCCTGTGTTTGGTGTCAATTAGACACCAGAGACATCTAACAGGAATCCAACTAGACTACAATAGAATTGTTGTAGGATTTGGGAGGAGTAGCACTGCACAGAAATCTAGTGTCAAACCGATCACATATGATAGTGTATGAAGTCCTTTGTATCTAGCCATGTTTTATAGTTGGGGTCTCTGAGACCCTCTGAAACAGAAGTAATGCATCACTTTCTGTAGCAGACTTCTGAAACATGTCCTCAGTACACGAGCAGTTCTCATTATATTCTGAAAAGTCACAAAGTACAAAAGTGAAAATACATTATTATGTATATTTCTGAGCTGCAAAAGAGGGTCTGGTTACTCAGGAACCAAAATAGAACATTAGGGTGAACTTGTTATAAACTCCACTGTTGAACTGGTGCACATGCATTTCATTTAAAGCAAGTTTCATCGAGGAAACTACTTGGAGACATGACACTTTTAAGAGAAGGGCATAAAACCCATCTCACATTCTGAATAGCTGAGGCCTCTCTGTGGCATCAACAAAGCACACAGCACTGCAGATCTGTAGGGATATAAAATGGGGCTTTACTGGCTGTATTGCTCACGTAGATCATTTGCAGCTTCATCTGTATGCAAAAGAGTCAACAGCCTCAGATGGCACTCACTTTGAGTTATCCAGGGCGTTGGAGTGGATAGTCCTCCAGGATGAAGATTGAACCCTCGCAGATGGGATAACACAATCAATGGAGGCTTTCCCACAGAAGGATGCACGGAGGATACCAAACTATGTTCATGTTTATACAGAGATTTGACATCTAAGTTAAATACACCAGATAATGCATAATGTGCGTTTCAGTATGTGCATATTCACTGTTGTGCATGTCTTTCAGAGGTATGGATATGGTGGGTTTGTCCAGCTTCACCATCACTGCAAGGTGAGTCACAGTTTTTTTCCTTCATGTACAGAGTACATGAGACCTTATGCAACTGTACTGTATCCAACGCTCAGGACACAGCAGGTCCCTCCCTGCTGCACTCTATCCTGTAGACCTTTCAGCCTGGTCCTCGCCATGTGAGCAGCTGCAGGACTCAGCACGGTGCCTCTGCATCAGTGGAGAAATTCACTTTAAATACGCAGCAGAAGACAGAGCAGCCTGGCAGCTGTGTAGCTAATGCAACTTTTAGCGGCCGACATCGGTTGAGCGTTTGGCAGGAGCAAACTGCACATAAGGACGAATAGCTGATTATGTCACATTGACGCATTCAAACAGAAGTCATGTCTGGTGAGGAGCATCTGTTTAAGTTATGATGCCAATGTTAAAACAAGATCTACAAGGACTACAGGTCACATTGTAGCACAGGTGTAGATGCACCCAAGATGTTTCATTACACCTATAAAGAGAGGGGTAAACTGTCCAGATGTTGTTTGTATATCTTCATTTAAATATACCTATACACCTTTACAAAGACATTTTGTCTGTCATGACATTTTAATGCCAAGTGTAAAAAGTTTACATCTCTATGTGGTCCATGAAACAGTAGGAATCGACTCTCTGCTGCCATCATGTGGTTATATTTTGAAGTTTTATGAAATCCAAACGTCACATAATTTCATCATCATGAAAATTGTAAATGTAATGAGTGAAATGACCAAGAACAAGAAAAATAAATCTGCCATGTTTTCCAGACTCTGTAATTGTAATAATTTTATTGTGGTCATATCAATTAGAAATTTGACTGGTGTTACAAGAATACTTCACACATACTTCTTGCTGAACACAGGAGCTGATGGTCTGCTGCTGCCTCAATCAGTTGGTTTGTTTGTGTTGTTGTGTGACTTTGATGTTTTAAAGCGTTAGTACGGAATCGCCAAAGTCACACCATAACACAAACAAATGTTCGAGGCAGCGGTAGACCAGCAGCTCCTGTGTTCAGCAAGGTAAAAATACTGTCTTTATCAATAGAGTCTGGCTGTGAAGGAAGCAGAGATACGTTTTGCTTTCAGTTCAGTTCCCCAACACTAAGGGCTGTCTGTTTGGGAAGTACTGAGCACACAACTGCATAAATGAGACTTGGATTATACTGCTTAAGTTGTGTGAGAGTTTGTAAATGGATGTTTTATTCACAATAGTTTGCTGTTCTTAAACATGGCCACCTAAAACTTGGATTTTCTCCATTTTTTGGATTCTTCATTCATCTGAGGCATGCGAGGAAAATGTTTTCTTCATGTATTCAGTGTAACACTGATACACAAAATGATGATTTGGAGGTTAAAGTATTCCTTTAATTTCGTGTTTCAGGGTGAAGCAGACATGATGAAGGATGGAAAGCTGTTCCGAGTAATTCAGGAGAACTGCTGGGATGCAAAAGCACGCATAAGGGACATGGATCAACATGGTATATGCACAGACATGAAAGACAACAACAGGGATTGCAGTGTTTTATCATACTGAGGCCTGAAAGAGATGTTTCTGTTTATCACCCTTCAGGTGTCACAGTTCAGGCCCTGTCCACTGTCCCTGTGATGTTCAGTTACTGGGTAAGTGTACACGAAGTCTGAGCAGCTTGGATCAAAAACAATGCAGCGATTATGTTTTATTGCTGTGTGGTAAAGACCTGAATCACAGTGTTGTTTACTGTGCCCCAAATTACTGTGAGCTGCAGCTACCCAATCCTGTTGAAACAAGGAGCAAATCAAATTCTAGGCTTTTTCTGGAACACCACAGTGGCTTATCTGCAACACCTCTTAACTGTCTTTCCTCCTCTTCAGTCACAGATGCATCAACACTAAGATGAAGAGTCAAGAATAAAGTTTCACATCAGGTTTTCACAGATATATTTACCTATTTCTGATCTTGTTTTTGGATTACAGGCCAAACCTCATGACACACTGGATCTCTGTGTTCTTTTAAATGATGATTTGGCCAAGACAGTGCGCAGCCACCCCAAGAGGTTTGTGGGCCTGGGCACTCTGCCCATGCAAGCCCCTGATTTAGCTGTGCTGGAGATGAGGCGCTGCGTGAAGGAGCTGGGCTTCCCTGGGGTGCAGATCGGCTCACATATCAACAACTGGGACCTCAATGCAACTGAGCTCTATCCCGTCTATGCTGTAAGACATTGAGCATTGCAGTACATGCTAATATGATGACATAATACTCTTGGTGATAGTTGCACACGTACCTTATTTTGTACTGAAGTGCAGGACATCCCTTTGTATTCATTCATCAAAAAATACTGATCCTGCAGTGCGTCTCTCATGCAGGCAGCTGAGGAGCTGGGCTGCTCCATATTTGTCCACCCGTGGGACATGCAGACAGATGGGAGAATGGCTAAGTATTGGCTGCCCTGGCTGGTGGGTGAGGAAGATGGAGTAGGAACAGCGATATTGAATATCCCCCCTGGCCTAGTCAATAGAAAAGAAAATACACTTTTCTTGTGAAAGTACACTCTCCTCTTGTGACTGAAATGGATCCATGTTTAATTATCTGTGCGCAGAAAACCAAAGCACTGGCAAAAACACAGCATATTTACCCACGATTTCCTGAAGTGATTGATGAATCCATCAAAGCCAAATCATTGTATTTCCTTATGTGTAAAATTGGTGTTGATAATCTTTGAGTATAATAGCTTTCACAGCATATTCGATTAGGGATGCACAATAGTGTCAGCACGTCATCCGTATTGGCAGATAAAGGCTTTGAAATGAAATATTGACATCTGCCTGATATGATCATCTCGCTGATATGACAGGCTGATGAGATGATGCTTTAATTATGCATTTTTAATTAGATGAAATAGGTCACATTTGCCCTGGTTGTGACTATTGTCAGGATTGTCTCAGGGAGAGCATCATCCAAGGCTGTTAAAGCAGGATAAATTTCACAGTTTTGTTTGAAACTTTGTCTGCTCTGCCAACAAGCCATCACAATAAGAGTTGGCATAGTACCATGTTAATTCCATCACAGAAGAGACTTGATGTTCTCTGCAATTATGTGGAAATGAGTGCATAGATTGGCATATCGGATATCGGCAAAAATCCAATATTATGCATCCCTATATCTGATGCATTGTGATTATGACAATTTTTTATTTTGCTTCTACCACTTAGTATATCAACCCACTTATATTGTCTTATGATGAAAAGGCATTTAATTAAAGTACAGTTTGAAAAGAAAGGTTTTATTGTCTTTTGTTTTCCATCTCAAAGGCATGCCGACAGAGACAACCATGGCCATTTGCTCGATGATATTTGGAGGCGTGTTTGAGAGATTTCCTAAATTGAAAGTCTGCTTTGCACATGGAGGTACCTACGAAATGCTGCTGATACAATATTGTAGTACACAAAAGTCAAAGCAGAGTAATATAAGCACTAAGGTGTCGACTTAAACATATTCTTACTTCATTCTTAATTACAGATTTCGTGTGACCGTTATTGTTAATGTCTCTCGGCTTACAGGTGGCTCTTTTCCATTCACCATTGGCAGAATTGAACATGGCCACAAAGTCCGCCCTGACCTGTGCGCAGTGGACAACGAGATCAGTCCCCAGAAATACCTCGGTTCCTTCTACACCGACTCCCTAGTTCATGATCCCACCGCCCTGAAGCTACTCATTGATGTTATTGGAAAAGTGAGCTTCTTCATTCATGCAACTCACACATTGAGAGGACACTGAGGGAGTGTTGCCAGTTTGAGCATTGAGTGGGTAGTTTCAAGTATTATTTCTGTAAAACCACTTTAACCTTGGATACAAAAACTGTGCACCAAGGCTCATTAATGTTGCACACTGCTCTTCTGATGTGTGGAAGCGCCCCGATGCCTCAGAATGGCTCTGTTGAACTATTCCCTCTTTCATCAGTTTGACAGAGAAACTTTGGATGTGTATCTGCACATGATCACCACGTGTTTAACACTACAATAGTTTAACATGCAGGTATTCCTCTTTCAGGATAAAGTGATGCTGGGGACAGATTATCCATTCCCTCTGGGTGAGCTGCAGCCTGGATCATTGATTGAGTCAATGGATGAATTTCATGACACACTAAAGGTAATGATATTTTCTTCTCTTTTATTCAGTCAATGCAAATACTTTGGAACTGTGTTCATGAATAAAATAAAACATGTGGCCAGGTAGAAATGGCTTGTTAGCAGCAGTGCAAGAGACACAGGAGCCACAATTTTAGACGCTATCCCAAACATCTTTTATTCTGCTAGCTTTCAAATTTTATTGTGTAAATGCATTTATTCAATATTCAGTGTACTCTTTTGTTTTGCAGGATAAATTGCTTGCTGGAAATGCACTGGACTTTTTGGGCCTGAAACGAGAGCAGTTTGAGTGACATGAAAATCGGAGATACAGCTGCTACAAAGGCCTTCTTTAAATATTCATAATTGTATGATTAAGGATAAAAATCCTTTTGGAATAGCTTGTATAGTAGATATAACAAATTATGTTGTTGTTTAATATGATAAAGTAATTATTTTTCTCTCAGTATTTTGTGAAATGCTTTATTTGTTATTACACTTATCATCTTAGTGATCACCATCAGCAGATTGTTTTTTTTTCTTTTAGTTTGATTAGAGAATACTTATTGCCAAAGACCCCACAGTACAACAGACAACTTTTGCTACTTAGTGTTATCAGGAACACATGCAGCCAATCCCACTATTAAATGCAGGGCTGCTCCAGTTGCCTTTATAATTCCCCAACCGAATGTATTCCATATTACACTTATTGTTTGGGTTCCCAGTGTATGCGAACTAAAGCTACTTTAGGTTATGTACAGACAAAACAAGACATTTAAAAAGTCATCACCTTGGACTTTAAGAAACTGGGATTCACTATTCTATGACATTGTTAAGACCAAACTATGAATCAATTAATCTTGAAAATAATCAGCAGATTAATTGATGATGAAAATATTTGATAGTTTCAGCTCTTGTGTTAATAATAATATAGAAAATTGCAAAATTAACCATTTCCCCCCATTGAAAATGTCTGTCATTCCTTACAACTGCATAAAACTCTATTAAGTAGATAACTATTGGAGTTGCTACCTTTCCCTTTGCATGAAGTGGGCTATTACAGTTGTTTGCCAAAAAGTAATTCACAAACAAAGACATCAGTCTTGATAATGCCTTTTAAATATCCTGATAACAGTCAAATCTAATGACAATGTTTGTGTTCCATGTCACTTAGACACCAGGGAGGTCTAACAGGACCCCAAATCAATAGTCACTGTAGTAGAATTGTTGTAGGATTTGGGAGGGGTAGTAGGCCTACTGCATAAAAAATAGTGTAAATCCCACTATTAAATGCAGGGCTGCTCCAGTTGCCTTCATAATCCCCAACTGAATGTGATCCCTCACTTCTTATGAATAGACTTGAATTACTTCACAAAGTAGCATTAATATGTGCTCTACTTCCAAGAAAGAGTTATTCAAGGATCCATTTGCACTTCTCTGGCTAACATGAGCTCAGCTCAAAGAGAAAAAGCATTTCTTATGTCTATCTTGCCAAGTGAAGTTAGCTTCAGCACTACGAAGTCATGCATCTAGCTAAAGACTTTAAAGCTATACCCCTTGTTTCTAAAGTAAAATTTAAATGTTGTTACTCTGTTTATGATATTATTCTGTTACTGTGGACATGATTCCTTGAAATGGTATTGACTTTAACCAAGGCAGTAATCATAATATAGCTATACCTTACCCATGCTATGCTACAACAGGCAACCATGCACCGCCATCTATGACAAATAATCAGCAAATGTAATCGCAATCATAGACAACCATAACAATTCGCCATTATTATTACCATCGATTCTAGTATTGCAGTGTACTGCAGTTCTGCATGTGGTTTGTCTAAATGGTGTTGCCGTACACTGGTTGCGTCTATGGTGTAAGTACAATCAATGTAAATGTAAGAGGCTGTAAGAATAATAAGATAATTAAAATTAATTACATGTTTGATAGATTTCATATGAACCAATGATGACACATTATTTTGGAGTCGAATTACATTTTACTTTATTTTTCTTTTTATTCTGTTCTTTACATTTTTTCTGTGTTGAGCCCATGGTACAGACTGTTTTGTGTCTCTGTAATGTTAATGTACCTTTGTTTCTTCACAAACACTTTACTGTGTCTCTTTCATTTCTTTCAAATTAATTCAAAAGTGAAAGAAAACTACAATGTAATATGAGTTAGCTTGCTAGCATACATTTCATAGAGAGATTCTGATTCCGTGGCTAACTAAACGCAATGTTGTGTAAAGTGTGAATAAATTAAATTGAAAAGACAATGTTATTTACTTGTATTAAACAGCATCACAAATTTTACAAATGTCTGTCTGGACACCAGCTGGTTACACACCACACCCAATCGCATCATGGGCTCACCATCGAAGAAGTCGTGTTTTCCTGTGCGACACCGACGTCACATCCACTTTCTCGATGCTCGATGTTGGAGAGTAATGGCGGCGTGCCGGGGATCCTCGTCGAAATGGTTTTTCACCCGGGAGCAACTCGAAACCACGCCGTCCCGCCGATGTGGAGTAGAACCGGACCGGGAACTCTCCTACCGGCAACAAGCGGCGAATCTGATCCAAGACATGGGTCAGAGACTGAACGTGTATCCTTTGTAAACAAACTTATCTTAGAACCAGACTGGAAGTAGACATGGCGCTAACATTAACCGTTGCGGCGGGCCCGATACCGTGAGCTAATTTTAAAATTGCTGCAGAGTTTAGGGACAAAGACTCAGGACTTTTGGACCTGAATGTTTGGTTTTCTGTTGGTTAAAACACGGTTACGCTATTAACGTCTTAACCTGGAATCCAAATGTCACTGGTTTATGTTTAACGTCAGCTAACGTGTGCGCTAATATAGCATGCTAACTAGCTAGCTATGGGTTGACGACCAAAAGGCCAGTAACGTTGGGCGAGTTTGCAGCTGTTGCTAGCCAGTCTTCCACTGATTGTCTTTACCCCTCGGTGGTGGTTGAATAACTACATATTTCGATAGAATTCGTGTGTTTATTCTCAAAATGACTTAACATTTTCTTGTTGTTTAACGTTAGATGTAACGTTAGTACAGTTAGCGCTATCCAAAAGCTATCGTAAGTGACCCAGCTTGCTTGCTGTACAGTGTCGTTTGCTCAACTGTAAACTTTTCTTCACTCTGGCCTTTACATATTTTCAACATATTTAGAGTGCATTCCCTTAATATGGATGTCTTGGCTTGGTTTAATGGCATAATTTGTTCACAATGTTCATGGCAGTGTTATTTACACTTAGTGCATGTTAAATTTTTCCTTGACCTATCCTCCAGCTCTCAATTAACAATTAACACAGCCATTGTTTACATGCATAGATTTTATATGCACCACTCTTTCACCAAATTCCACAGGAATGTAAGTATTGTGTTACATAATGCTGCTAATGACCTGAAACCAAGTATCACATGTTGGGTAGATTGTTACAGCAATTGCAAAGTTAAGGTAGTATATATTAAAATCAATGCCCGGTGCTTTTGTACAGATAATTTCTCCAACCACCTTATTCTTGGCTGCAAAAGTGGAAGAGCAACCTCGGAAACTCGAACATGTGATCAAAGTTGCACATGCTTGTCTAAATCCACAAGAACCACCTCTAGACACAAAGAGTAATGTAAGTTCAGGTTCAAGCTCTATATATTGTATGATTACATGTTTGTTTCTCCTTCTGCATCTTACATTCCAGTTCTCTCAGTGGTCATGGTTTCCCTATGTATACCTGGCTGTGCCAAATTCCTTTGCCCTTTACAGAGGGTCTTATTGTAACTGCCCTGGCCTGCTGTTGGCGTGTACCAAACACCTACACCTAACAAGGCCTACATTAATAGTAAAAATGAGCCTCTCTGTTTGGTGTGTTTGGCCATTTGAAATCAGTTGTTAGGGGGGTAGATTAATAGACTCATTACAATTGTGTTGTAATGACTGTCTATCAAACTTCAGGCATACCTCCAGCAAGCTCAAGAGCTGGTGATACTTGAATCCATAGTGCTGCAGACCCTGGGTAAGTAATGGTGACTGGAGTGGATGACTTGAGAGAGATAGCGTTTTGTTTATAATCATCATTTTCTGTGGCTTATCTTTATTGGTAAGGGAGTAGTGGTATTGATCACTGATGAATTTATTCATCACAGCCTGTTGAGTGAAATGTTTAATCAGCTGCTGTATGGGTATCTTGTCATGCACATATTTTCAAGAAATCATGTAAAGGTGACATGTCATTGTGTCCTTGCCGAAAACATGGTATTGACGTTATGGGCTTTTCCACATTATGTTTTTTTGTTTTATTTTATCTCCATATTGCTGCTGGGAAACATTCTATTTTATGGCTACAGCAATTTGTGCTTGCTTATTGATTACATTCAATACTGAGAATTGCCTTTCATCCAGAATGAAAGTGACCAGAGCTGATCTGATAGTACTTAATTTTCAGTATGCATATATGAATTGGTCATCAGGCCCCACTATTCACATCTAACATGTAGGTACCTACTGCAATCTGAATTGGTAGCCTTAAAACATATTACTATGTTTGTTTATTGAACCCTAAAATGACATGTCACCTCCCAACTGTCTTTGTGTTGAACTCACCTGTCATGTATTTTGTTCCAGGCTTTGAAATTACTATTGATCACCCACACACTGATGTGGTGAAATGTTCCCAGCTAGTGCGAGGTAGAGGCTTCCTTCTTTGCTCTTTGTGCCCTCTGCTCTTATTTGTCCCACCTCAAACATGGGTGGGGAGGGGGGTGAAAACCTTGCTGATGTAATGGTTACATGACCACACACCTTGCTCTTTTGATGACCTTTTGAGTTCATTATATGACATGGCACATAAACAACCACATTTACTGACGCTTATTGGGCCAAGTCTAAGACTGAATTCTACTCATTTGTTTGGGGCGTTAGCCGCTTCATTCTCTATCTGAGAAACTGACCCCTCTAAATATTTGGTTATGGTCAAATCAGTGATCATGGCTTAAATTCTAAAAATGATCCAACTTGTTGAAAGTTTCCAAAATGTAGCAAGAGTATGTGCCTAGCAGGCATGGGACAGTATCTACATTTCATGTTACAATTATCCTGGCTAAAATACTTGGGATTCACGATAATATCCCTGATCTTAAAACTCTTTAATTTTACAAACCACACTGGAATCACTTAACCCTACATTTTGTTAAGTGAGAAACAACATATCCCATTGCATTACAGATAGAACACACATCTTTTATTAGTGAACATCCTTTTCAGTGGAAAGAAAGCCATTGCTACATGACTTTGTGTACGTTCTTGCACTACTCTAGTCAAAGTATCTAATACATTGGCCGTTAAACAACAAATCATGTTTTACAGTACCAAGTTTAACAAGCATAACATTTATTCTCACTCGCCCAATCAGACAGCTGCATGAGGCATTCTACTCACCAGGCATTGAGTTTATTTGCTTCAAGCAGCAGTCAATTTCATGCCCATAATCTTTGGGTGCTGCCAGACATGATGTTCATGATTATCCCAGTAATGTAAATTTATCTCAGTCAACTCATAGTGAGTGCTTTTTATCAATACCCAAAATGAAATCATATATCGTCCCATGCCTATTGCCTAGTGTTATTTTCAGTCTTGGCCTTGGCTTAATCAGTGCATTGAAACATTCAGTTCCAGACCTAATGATAATGAAATGCTTTGACTTGCAGAAATGGTAATCCTTTTTTCCCCATCCCTGTTTGTCTGTTTGTCTGTCTCTCTTCCAGCAAGCAAGGATCTGGCACAGACTTCCTATTTCATGGCTACCAACAGGTTGTTATCCTGCCCCTCCTTTGTTGCACTTTGACTGCACACCCTAGCTTCCTGTAATGCAGGGTACCCTTTCAGTGTCCAACGGGCCCTACTTGCACTGGTGGTTATTGGGATGCTTGCCTCCTCCCCTCAGCTCCCCTCCCTTGTGCAAAGGGAGCGGGACAGGGTGGCTTGTAGCATTACCGGCCCCAGTCGCAGTGCGGTGTATTGTACAAGGGACCACGTGTTGGCACAGATGGGTTGAATGCAAGATGTGAAGTGTAGTGGTGCGCTTGAAACCCACATGTTTGTTCGGTTGCGAAAAAGTGCATAATTCTAAAAGAAAGACACTTTGGTAGCCTGAATAGCAGCTAAAGATTTCACAGATGTAAACATTTCTCGTAGAGGTCCTTCCGGTAAGTACCGCAAATTAATTTTTAAACTCTTCTTTTTCATATCCATTTGTTCAAAATGCATTATCTCCTCAGATATTTTCCACCTTTTGCAAAATTTCCTTGTCTTTAAATGAACTTATCTTCTAGCTTTCTGCAGCATTCTTTTGTACGTGTAGCTCATGTATAATGTGACAAGAAAAACGTAATCGTGACCCATTAAGGACCTGCAGAATCAGTAATATGTATACCTATTTGAGTATCTCTCAGACAGATCAAATGTATTCGGTGGTCATGATTTATTCTAAAGCAAAGACAAACTGTCATCATGTCTTGTATTTGGAAAACTGGGTCCTTAAAGGGTTTTTTTGGTGGTAGACGTTGGAAATGAGTTTTTATTAATGTAATTAACTTTAACTACTTTAAATCAGTTGACAATGTCTGGATGCTGATTGTTAACATTGTTTAAAGTTTTGCACTGATTTGGCGCTTAATAACAGTGCAAGCTGTAGGAAAGGATCATTCTTAGAATAGCTCACTACTCTTACAAATTTATTTTAATTTGATCAAGAGTACTCATTTCTAATGGTTTAAAGGATTTTGGATGTGTTAAGTTAAAGGGTTTGAAAGGTTGCCATTAGCCAAATGCTTGTAAACATCGGCTGAGACTGATAGCTTTGATTAAGGTAGCTATAATCTGACAGACCAGACTCCAGACATTGTGCTTGTCTCACAGTACAAGGTTACCATCCAGCTCCTACCAACCATGTTGTAAAATGCAGCGATAGAAGGCAAAGTTATGGGTAGTTGTGTTTATTTCATACAGCTTTATGCTGAGGTGTTGTGTTAGTACAGTGATCTTATATCTCGTTATATCATGGACATTTTTTCTTGAGAATCTTTACGGCGACACAGCAGGATTACAATTATGTAGTCATGGCATAAATGATTATGGGTAACCTACTTTTATTAAAAAATAAAACACCTTTGGTGCTTAGGACTCCCTAAAAACTTGGTATTTCATCCAGGGGCAGTGCTTTACATTCTGAGCCACACAGCATTGTGGGCTTGATGCACGTTCTTCTCTGTGTCTCCTCACCTCGTTTCCTCTTGTGACTTTTTGGATATGAAAGCAAAACAATAACCTAAAAATTGTTTATTAACCTAAACCTATTGAAGACCTCAGGCGTAACTGTTCTTTTTTCTTCTGGTTGTCTGTTCACAAAGTTACACTCAGATTTTTGCTCCTTGCTGGCAAAGCTGCTACCACAACTAGACTTCCCCACAGATTTCTTAAATGTATTTTACCTGGCTGCTAATAAAGTCTCAAATTGACCATCATAACATTTTACTTGAAAATATGTACAACTCAACAGTGCTAAAATACATTGCACTATATTACTTTGATGGGGATATTCTGATACCAGTGGCTTACAAGGCAGACTTTCAATTTGGAAACATGTTGAGAGAGACCAAATATAGTTATATATATATATAGTTTGCCTAATTTTCCAAGCACTGCTGCATACTCAAAAACCACGCCTATCTGGGGGAAATACCATGTTTTGAGGGAGTCCTATTGGTGCATCTGGGATATAAACAATTTATATTTGGTTGACCACGGTGAAGCTAACAAAGAACTAAAGCCTTTAGTTGTATTGGAGCAGTTTGTGTCTGTGTTTTAGCTGTAAATACTTGGATGTTGGCCATTTGTCTAATTGTATTTGTTACATTTCATGTGATATGAATGAATTTCAATATGATCTAAATTTGGATTACTCTTCACTCTTGCAATGTCATTGTTGCAGAACAATGATACACCTCTTGAAATTTGAATTTTACCCATGATATTAGCTTTAACATTTAATTTAGGAATGCTCTCAGTGTTGAGACCATGCGTACACTTCATTGCACCGCTAATACTGTCGACACTGGTGCCACGTTGTATCCATTGATCTGGAGGGCCCAGTAGGTTTACCCCTTTCAACACAGTCCCAGAGACCCATACAGAGAGGGTTGTAGGAGTAGCCCCTTGTCTGTTAACTGTACGATGATGTTAACAGTCACATGGGTGGCCTCAGGGTTTAGTGTTTCACAATGGGCAAACTACACTTAGCTACTACGCATGGCCCCCTCTCCACTTCCCCTCACTGTGATTTCCCAACACTAAACCAGTCAGTTCCTTGAAACTTGTCACATGATGCAATTCAATACTTATTTTCTAAGCACACTGGGAATTATGTCTTTACATGAATCAAAGTTATAAGCAATGTCACCTGTATTGTGACCTGTCTTTGACATGATACATTATCAGACAAAGTTTAACGTACCACAGTCAAAATAATGCTTTATCTTTGGCAGCCCATACTTACAGTAAATTAAAACTGTCTGCTCCCTCTTGTGTTTTCTTTTTCTCTTTTCTACATATGTGGAACCAATCGGGATATCGCTGTGCCTGAATCAACTCACTCACATTACTACACCCTCACATACGTGGAATATTCACTCTCTTACAAACACTCATCACTTGCGCCTACCCTCACACACACACACACACACACCATACAGTCTACACCTCACTACCTTCTGCCTCCAGTACAAGCCCACAGTGATCTCCTGCGTGTGCATCCACCTGGCATGTAAGTGGTCTAACTGGGAGATCCCAGTTTCCACTGATGGGAAACACTGGTGGGAGTATGTGGACAACACTGTCACCCTCGAGCTGCTTGATGGTGAGATTGAATAAATGTATTTAACTTTTCCATAATGTATTACAGTGAATATACTTACCTCACAGTAATCTTCTACATAGCTGTTTTATAAACATGCTTCCTTTTATAGAAATTACAGATTTTACAAAGGTGAAAATGAGAAGAGGCCGATGCATTGTGTCAGTGTAGCAGCAGTGTTTGAGGTGCTTTGATGACAGTGTTCATGTCTTGTACTTACAGAGTTGACTCACGAGTTTCTGCAGATCCTGGAGAAGACACCCAGCCGGTTAAAGAGGATACGCAACTGGAGGGTAGGTTACATAGCTACTCTGTTCATGCATTAAAAAGATGTGTCAGTTGAAATTTGATTTATTAGCTCAGTATGTATCAAAGCAAATAGTGTCACCAAGGAAGTTACATGTACACCTGTGTGATCTTAAAAGCCAGAAAAAGTGTTGGCACCAAAATCAGTTCTGAAAACTCTTTAAATGTCTGTAGTATAAGAATCATAAACACCCCGGTTTGGCAAACAACTGTATTGCAATGTTGATGGCAGTGTTTATCACACACATTACCAGGACAGAAATCCTGCTTCAATGATTGTCCCACTACCACCGTTGAACTCCCTTCAGAGAGCGTACTGCAAACTAAACCAAACTCTAAACAGCGTCCCAAATCTCTTTCTATTCTCTAGGCAACACAAGCTGCTAAAAAGCCCAAGGGTGACAGCACTCAGTTGACTGACAACTCCTTTGTGGGGCCTTCCATGCTCCAAGATCAAAGTGACGCCTCCTCCAATCCAAGTTTTTCCAAAGCTGGCGCTGCCTTCACCGTGCCCATGCCGGGCCAGTCTGGAGCTGCACCCCTGTCTCTGGACGCCTTGGCTGGCACATACAATCCAGGTAGCCACAGTGAGTGGCCCCTGGGCAGCCAGAGCCAAGCAGGCTACCCTTCCGCCTGTATAAAACAGGAACCCCTCAGCATCCCTCTCCAAGAGCCCACACTGTCCTTGCAGACTTCCACTTCCTCTTTGCTTCAGCATCCGCCGGTGTACAGGAGTGAGAAAACACTAGACTTCATCCCTGTCAAACAGGAACATAAAGGAGCTGGTGGGAGCGGAGTGGGCAAGCATCAGCCACCACCACAACCGTCACCTGCTCAGAAGCTCACTCTGGACAAATACAGAGAGAAACACGCTGCAGAGCTGGCTGTCTCTGGGCAGAAACGTAGTCAGGAACAGCATGGAGGACTAATGGATTGTGATGGGAGGGGGGATATGTTATCTTCCTCCTCTTCTACCTATGCACCATCCTCTACTAACCAAGACCATAGAAAACATTCACAGCCCCACCAAACATCCCATGGTGGGGGTGGCAGCACTACTGCCTCCCCAATGAAAATTAAAGTCCCCTCCTCGTCAACTTCAGGGCAAGATAGACGTCATCACAGTGACAAACGGGACAAAGGCTCGCTTAAAGTCCGCCTGGCTGTTCCTGGGTCTGGCAGCAGCTCTCAGCTCGATAAAAGTGGCCAACCAAGCAAAGATGAGCTTAAGATGAAGATAAAAGTCTCATCATCAGAGCGCCACAGCTCATCAGATGAAGGCATGGCGGCCAACAACAACAAGAGTAAACATTCCAGCCCTCTGGTGAGCAAGGACAAACATCGTGGAGCAGATCACAACCTCCATCGCCACCACAAGCACAGTCACCCTCATCCACACACACACAGCGGGAATGGCGGGGGAGGCTTGCTACGGGGTCCTCCAGGACTGGTCAGCATGGAAGGGACCACGCTTGCTCCTCCGGGATCCACCTCATCTTCCTCCTCGTCGCGCAAGAGGGCGTACCCCGAGGCCAGCCACAACCACCACCCTTCCTCCTCATTCTCCACTTCTTGCTCCAAAGTGGGCAAAATCTCCAAGGGTGGCACTGGTGCTGCAGGTACTACATCTTTTTCTCTCCCCTTTTTTCCTCCTTGCTCCTCTCCTGTACTGCAGTGTGTCTCATCTGGCTTGCAGCTCTATGGCTAACCTCCCCTCCCCTCCCCCATCCTCCTCCTTCTCCTCCTTATTCTTGTTTCTCCTCCTCCCCTCCTGTCACACGCAGGTGGGCTGCGGACCTCTCAGCAGTACCCGCCTCCTACTAGTGAATCGCCACATGAATTGGGAGAGCAGAGACACTGAGTCCACCTCTCTGCAGCCATGGCCAGCACATGGAAATGGCAACAAACTACCCACAGCTCAGACTTTGAAGACTATGCTCACCTCCCTGTTAAGTGCCCTAGGAAAATAACTCTTTATGTCATAATAAACCCTTTACTGAAAGGCAGAAAAATCTATCTGCAAAAAAAAAAAGTATTGTCGGACTTCTCAATTTCTGAGAGACAAGAATGATGAAAAATTATGCTTCCTGACTGTCGGATATCTGGGCTGTGATGCTCAGTCCTGTCTTTCTGTTAGTGTGTTGAATTGCTGCTTGGTTCTCCTTCCTCCTCACATGAGTTTCGGAATGTGCAAAAGTGGGTGTGAGTGTGTTTTCATTGGGGGGGAAGTCCTTCCCTACATTTCAATTCTCCATATGGGAAAACAAAAGTATTATAATTATTGTTAGCGGCATGGAAGGTGCACTTTCTTCATTTTCTTTCTCTATTTTTTTTTAACGAGTAATTTAATTGAATCACGTTTCAGCGGTTGTATGAGGAAGCCAGTGGCCAGCTGGAGATGACTAAGTTATGTTTGCTGGCATTCCATTTAGTACTGTTGATGGATGCAATTTTTTTTAGGTGTAAAGTTTCATCTCCTCACTTTCTTTCTTGTCTTGATTTCATTTTATACTTGAGTACTGTGCGTATGATTTGCATGTTTCAATCATCAAAGGGATTTAAAAGGAGAACACGTACTTGCTGTTTACAGAAAGTGAGATAAATGTACATACGTTTTTGTATGTTTAAAGAAAAAAAAGCTATACCATGACTACTCAGGTTTGGAGCTGCTTGTAAGTATAACAAGATAACTATAATACCTATAAAAGACTTTTATTTTGTTGATCAGTGGATTGGGCATCGTCGAGTGAATGATTGCAGCATTCCAGTGGTGTGTGCTTCTTACAACCTTCCTACAGGGGGTGCTGTACTGTGCTTTTTCATCACAGGTAATATCAGTTAATGCCCTCAGTCACACAGGCGCACCCGACACCTACTTATCACATCAGAGCGATGCAATTTGTACCAAAAATTATTTTTTTGGACCTATAAGTAGACCTTAAGCTGGATGCCAAAGGTTGTGCCTCAAAAAGAAAAACAAAACTGACAAAGACAGTAGTAGTGTGCTATTAAAGTTTACATAACCCTTATTTTTCCTTTGAAGTGCATCAGACATAATTTCTTAACATGAAGCTGTAGCTGTTAGATGTCAGCCCATAAAGGGGGTACATGTAAGTATTATTTAATCAGCCAGTAATCTGGTACTAGGTATAGAAAAAAAACAAAAAAAAGCAACAGTCATCAGAACAGTGACCAATAGGCCATATGCAACATGACCTGTACCTGCAACATGGATGGCCCTAATAGGTTTTGTCACTGATGTCCTCATCCAATTGGCTGCATTTACATTTACAGTCATGTACCTGTCCGGACACAACATTACATCATTTTCATACATTAAACTCTATATTCTCAAATCTGGACATGTCCATCCCCTCTGTTATAGACATTGTTACGTATTCACGAGTGTGCAAAACACCTAGCAAGCCTGAGGCTGGATTCTTTGTATCCTCATAGGGATGAACCGTTCCGCGCACAGACCAAAAGCAGCTGCGGACAAAAAAAAAAGCATAACCCACTCTTTACATCCTTTTTTTCTTTTCATTTCAATATTATGAATAAACTTCAAAGTTGCCACTACCCTGACACAGTACAAACCCTGGTTGTCGCTGTCAATTTATTATGCATATATCCATGTCACAGAGTCACTTGCTGATTTGTATAATTGAATATGAGGAGACATGTTTGTTATAGTAATGACAAGTTCTTAGCAGTGGCATGTCTCTCAAGCACAATTTTACACACTGATTCCTCAACTCATCAGGAATGCCAACAAAGTAGTTTTACAATCTCTGCATTAGAAAATGGAAAATGATACTGCAGTATGGATTAGACAATTTACCAAAATCTACATACATCACATTTCTAAAGAGACCTAGAGTTACACTGTATAAATTTAAAAAAGGTATTAAGATTGGCACATACGATTGTGATAGGAAATATTCAAACCAACAAAAATCTTACATCTATCTTTTCACATTTATAGGCTCTATTAAAGTTAGAAGTATGTAAGTGCTTCTCGTAGTTTCCTAAACTTCAGCTTAATGCAACAACTGCAGTCTTTCATATTTTTTGTATTGCAGTTTCTAGAAAGGTATGGGACACAAGCCCATTGCCCCATGCTTGCAAACACATGTAGCAGACTCTCAAAGGGTCACAATAGAACATGTTATGTTGTGAGTCATCAGTCTGAATTAAATCATTAAAATGTTTTAAACAAAAAAAAAAAAAAAAAATAGGGTAACTTGTTAACCACACAGTCCCTGTGGGTGACCACAGCAGTTCCTTTTCTGTGTTCCACAAGACTTTGCTCCCATCTTCCTTTGTGGGATGAATGAATGCTCCAGCAGCTGCTCTGCAGATGGCCGGAGCCTCTGGTCACTGAAGTTGAGTAGAAAACCAGTGATTAGATCCAAATTCTTAATTCATTAGAATTTATCAGGGATAGATTCAAAGGGGAAGTGAGTGCGTGAGAGGAAGTCGCCAGTTTGCACAGACCAGGTAGGACGATAGTTCTCACCTTGTCAAACTGATCTTTACAAAGTCCTTGGCATTATCTGAAAACCCATCTGGTAAGGAGGGCATCAACCCTCTTTGAGCCCCAATGTAGAACAGGGCAGCCATCTTGTCCATGTGTGCCAGCGGTGGTTTCCCTGTGGCCATCTCAAAAACTGTACAGCCCACACTCCATATATCCGACTTCCTGCCATATCCGGTCTCATTGATAACCTGAGGAGTGAGGAAGATTCAAGGAATCAGACAAGATTAAAAGGGCAATTTTACCCACAAAAAGATGAGTACACTCTACACCTACCTCTGGTGCCATCCAGTAAGGTGTGCCGTGAACAGACTTGAGCAGATCTCCACTGTTGCTTGCAGTGTGGTTCAAGCAGCTGAGACGACGCGCGCAGCCAAAGTCTATGAGCTTGATGACGCCAGTAGGCATCAGCATGACATTGTTTCCCTTCAAGTCACGATGAATCACACTGTTCAGGTGAAGGTAGGCCACCCCTTCCAGGATCTGATGGGTGTATAGAGCCAGGACACGCTCTGGCAAAGGACCAAACCTGAGGGCAGTAAAAGGGGATGTGTTAAAGGCACTAGTACAGAACAATTATTGTTAAAGCCCCTGATACTCTGAAGCCCAATGCCTCAACAGACACTTCTGGGTTTAATTGTCATTCTATTTTGAATCAACCAAACCTGTGGAGGATGCTGGCGATTGATCCTCCTGGGATGTACTCCATGAAGATGGAAACCACATGTTGATTAAGTGAAGTCCCCAGAAAGCCCACAATATTAGTGTGTCTTAGGGTTTTAAGCAACTCCACTTCCCCCTGCAGACGACTGTACTCCCTCTTTGCAGCATCTGGGTCAGAAGCATCCAGGGTCACTTGCTTCACAGCTATCAACTGGCCCTGGCTGGTCAAGCCGCAGTACACCTGGTAAGAAGGCAGCAGTGATCACCAGGGTTAGTTGAGCATCATTGTCTGCTACTGTAAGTATGATGTTCTGAGTATTACAATGCCTCCCGCATTAGCTGGAGGCCTTATGTTTTTGCATTGTCTGTCCGTCTGTCTGTCTCATTCTCATCCATGTGATATCACAAGAAAGCCTTGAGGCATTATCTTTAAAATTGGCACAAACATCCACTTGGACTCGACAATGAGCTTATTTGATTTTTGTAGTCAAAGGTCACTTTGAGCTCACAAACCATCTTTTTGGCTATAACTCAAAAATTCATATGCTAATTATGACAAAATTTCACACAAATGTCAAAAGTGATGACATTTCATATCCAAAAGTTCAAAGGTCAGCTCCACTGTGACATCATAATATTCTGCAATTAACACATTTCCAGCCATTGTTCAATGCCATAACTCAGGGAGACATTTGGTCAGATACTAAATTGGTGACACTAATCTTGGGTGTCCATCTTGAAATTGCGCTGATTGTATAGATCTTCTGTTCTGCTGGGTTGAAGATGCGTGTGAAGCATCCATGTTTAGACGTAGTGTCTTTATAGCCAAATCCATACTAGAAGCATTGGGCAGCTGTCATATGAGTCTGGACAAATATGAATGTAAACTGTAACTTGATTGGTTCTCAGAGATGGTAATTCTAGTTGTAAGATGAATAAAGAGGACATGGTTTTATGACTAGATAAGATTTAAGGACATTAGTGTATCATTTTATAAGCCTCATTAAAGCTTTTAACAGCAGGAGTTCTGATGGTCAACAGACCCACAAAGTTGGCGATACAGTGACACAATGCATCTATTTTGTTCTCATGCTTGAATGTGTTATTAGCTTTACTTTGCCAGTCTAAATTTCCATACTTACTGTCCCATAAGCTCCTCTGCCGAGTACTTCACCCTTTGTCCATGTGATGGTGTCATCCACAACCAACCCAGAGCCAAGCAGAGCAGCACTGTCTGTGGACTTAACCTGTCATAAAATACACAGAATGAAGGTTAGCAAAGTGACTGAGAGCAAAGCAGGGTGTCTTGGAATAATACCACGATGTTTGACAACAAATACCTGGTTCTTTGAAGCTTTAGTAAATGGCAATAATTTTCTCAAAGATAAGTTGGTGAAAATCTTTAGTATGTTTTTAATCGATAAGTACGTTCCATGTTAACATGCTTAATGGAGGCCCTTGCTGGGGTTATGAATGTTTTCTTTACACCCTCCTCTTGACTTGAAGAAGCACTTGTTCCACAGCATGTCAAAATAATAGAACAGTGTTCAGTTGGTACAGCTTGTTTAATGTGGTAGACCCTTGGTTAAACCTTAATGTCAAAATGAAATTTCCAGTGTGCACCAGGAATTTACACATTAATAAAACCCCGATACAGGGACAGAACTGTGGCTCTATGTTTGTGGAAAAGCTCAGCTTAATGAACCATGGTACAAACAATGTTTTTTTCTTTTTTAAAGAACAGTGTTTTTTTTACATTTGACCATGAAAGTTTACCTCAGGAAATGTATTTCTTCCTGATACAGGATCGTCTTCTTTGTTGGACGCCAGGTTTTCAGGTCCTATAGATACATCCCTCTCGTCCAATGAGATCAGCTCCTCGGCCAGACATTGCAGCAGATCGTCTGTAAGTGGCCCATCCCCTACCTCATCCAGAAACTTCTGGTAAACTGGTGACATGATGGTGTGGCTGCCGTTCCTGCTAGAAGATGTCCAGGTGTTGATCTTAGGCTGTTGGGGGCTTTGAGATAGCACAGGCTCAGGAACTGGTCGGTTTGGATTTCCTATTTCTTGCATTTTCATGTGCAGGTGGCTATAACTTTCAGAATGAGATGAAGCTGCTGGCATAGTCAGTGTTTTGTCATCAGATTTTAATGTTTCAGATCCATATCTAGAAAGAGCCTCCTCAATGGTAGATAACATATGATCTTCAGCCTTTTCTTGAGCACTGCTATGACAAATGTCCACCTCCTTAGAAAGAACTAACTCAGCCTCTGTATGCCCATCCGATTTAGGCATATCCTTAATTTTGTGTGCGTCTTTCCTTGGTACAGGTGTGAGGTGAGGTTTTGCCCGAGAGGATGGAAGTTTTGGTTTGCTTTTAGCTGAACCCACCATATTCTCCCCTGGGCTTCTCCTCTGTGCATGTTTCAATGGTCTGTGTTTGACTTTATGACACAGTTGAGTCTTCCTAGACGGAGCAGACTGCACTTGTCTGTCCTTGACTTTCTCACAGGAACTGGAAACTCGAAGGTTATCATAGATCGGACCAGCAAACATCTCGTAGATGGCAGGTCCTTCCTCCCCACACTGTATCTGCTGGAACATGTCTTTGTAGGTGATGAAGTCTACAGCAGATTTAGACCTCGGTGTCCCCACGAGCCCGGGTCTCTTCAACTGCCGACTACTCTTCAGCTCCCTCACTGGTGGATGCTGTTGAGCTTTATTGCTGGTCATCTTGTCAGGATTTGCTCTTTTGCTTTGATCAATAACCTTCTTTCGTGGTGTTGGGGTGCCAGTGTTATAATGAGCACCTTTAACAGATTTAAGCTTTGGCTTTAGTTTTGTGACTGTCTCTCCACTGATTATTAACTCAGGGCTTTTCCTGGTTTTATCTTTAACTTGTGTGGAAAGTGAGGAGTACTTCAGATTGCTTTTGGACTTGTTCCGATTAAGGGTGCTTCGGTCTTTGTGTGCCAGTACATTGAAGGACTGCTGGTTCATTTGAATGTTTGCTCTGAGTTCACGGTTCATGCTGGTTCTTCTGCCCTTGTTCTGAACAGGCTTTAAGGCTTTCAACATCCTCTCTGTTCTCTTTGGATCCATGTCTGACCGTGGAAGGTCTACAGCTGAAGCAAATACTGGAACATTGTCCTCAGTAGTGCTGGTAGTTAACTTTACATCCTCTCTATGCAAGATTGGTTTGTCTACCCGGGTTTCTTCTTGAAAGGAATCCTTCAGTGTTCTTTCTGTCTGATTTATATGCTGCAGGTCAATTCTGCAAGTCCCTTCAGAGGATGTAATAACATCACCTTGGTCATTATTCATATTACATGTTATCCCATGACTAGGCTCAGTCTCAGGCTCCAGACTGCAGCCCACATTGTTCTTTC